AAGTTTGTGCTGATGATGTAATTCAGAAGAACGATGAAAGCTCCACGACCAAACCATACAGCGCAGAGAACAAAACTCCACCAGAATTAAAATATTCTTGATTGCCTACCTAACTTGGACAGAATAATGTCAGAGTTGGCCAAAAAAATATGTGTATCGTGCCTAGAGATTGTCATTATGTCATACGTTTATGTAGAATGGATGATAAACCTCATAGGATTCATTTATACCAAGTGATACTAATCAACTATAGTCTTTAACGCCAACAGTCGGAAGATCTAAACACTTAAAATTGATTTATAACCCATTTCGATTGGACATAACTATGATGAATGAATAGCCTATTCTCACTTAAGACTTCAGGGACCAGGTCTAAATCTCAAGATAAATATCGATTCTGAGATGCAGGGACACTCAGCAGAGGATTCTGGAAAGGACAAGACATGTGCCTTTATATCTGTTGCTAATCACGTTACATCCATTCCATGTAATCATATAAGTATAGATTACAATAGTTCTTCAAACAAAAGGTAGGTATATCAGGTTATTTCAAAGAGTCAACAATAACTCATTTATAAATGAGGTTAAAACTTAGTCCAATTCTCTTAGTATAAATGACCAACCGATCTGAACGAGATCCTCATAAAAAAACGAACAAACACTAAACAGCTATTTCCCACTGATTTGGGCTCTTCAGCAGTACGTATCCACGATCCCATCACATACAGTCGAGCCCCGAAATTTTGATCTAACCAACCAACGCTTAAAACCTAGACCAATCGGTTAGTATCTATTCATTCACATACCCAACTTCAAATAACCCTTTATATTGTGCAACTAACCTTCATATCCTACGAAGGATTACCGTCTCACATCCGATATAATTGAACTTCAATGATCAAAACAATGATCAGTTGATGATTTAGGCTATCGCAATTCTAAAATCTATACAAATATAGGTAAAGTTTCGATGAATATGATATATTGTCCTGGTATGGTCGAGCGTGGAGAGAGTCAGTTCTCCCACTCAAAATGATCTAACATAGCCACGCGTATACAGTCATTGTCAGGGAATTCCTGCTCACTACGTTCTCGCTACTGCGGTGCTGTTTACGAAAATGAGAGGACGAAAAACGAATGTCCTGTGTTTTAACCAGGTTGGTGGATATGGAGAATCCATTGAGAGGAGTTAGCGAATTCCGATTTCAAACCAATAGTGTATATGGGCTCCAGGATCCTAATGGCGTATAAACCTATTGTTGATCACTGGCTACCATGGAACTGCATTTCCACAAGTTGCTCCATTGTTTTAGACCCATAGATCAAAAGGCTCGTAGTGTGTCCTTCTAAGTTAACCACCTGTTTTGATTTGGGCATCCCCTACAGTATCCCAGCTATCACATGAATTGAATGAGTCAGTTTGGCGTATATCTATTTGATGCCCCCTTTGTACCAATGTTTACGTGTTTAAATAAGTAAATAAATCCATCAAAATAGTAACCATTGTAATTAGATGTAATAAACTAGTAATAAAAAACATGAATTTTATGATGGAACCAATCGTTCTATAAACAAAATAACCATAAAAACAACAACTTGATATACAAAAACAAATAGGTGAAAAGTACTTGTCATGGATATTGTAGTTGCCAAACAAACAAACAACCAAATGTGTTAATATTCACTCGGTGATGTTTGCTTATATCTTCCTAGATTACCATGGAAAACCTGGAAGCATTGTATGGCCGTTTCGTCCTAGTATGGGACTCCTCAGCAATTCGCATCAACGACCCCACCTCGTGAGATTCGAACTCAAGACTTATCAGTCTCGCTATACGTTCTATATGAGGACAAAATAATTATAGGTGAGTCTATAATTTATGAACGAACCAATCAGATTTATGATAATTGATCTTGAATTTCAACTGGAGATTCATTCATCCATTTGTCTAAATAGCGTTTTGACATTTTAGCCAGTATCAGTCATAAATCTAATTTTTAATCCTAACCATCAAGGATAAATCATGATCATTATCCTTTAAACTGCTTCATAACCATCATTTACTCCTAGTTAGTATGTGGATATTCTTATGAACACTTTAGCATCACTCAAAGGTCGTCCATAGATTGTACGTCTCATCACCAATCGAATCTCTTATTATTTGTTCTGTCTTGTAGAGTTATTCTTTCAAGAGTCGACACTAGTTAAAACTGAAAAAGTTCAGTAGAGGTTCTATACTTAAAAACTGTAATGTATGAAGACCAGATTATGATCATGCAATTTATAGTATTAATGCGCCTGAAATATGACTGACATTCAATGTACCATACTCCTTGATTTTGTATCCTATTCTAATTGATATTAAACTTTCACTAATAGAAGCCTCAAATATCTAAGTATCTTCATTATTTACAATTAATCTTATGAATTAAAGCGATTCGAAAGTCGATCAGGACAGTCAATTCTCTTTGAGATAGTTACATGCATCAAAACAAAAAAGGATTCAGTATTCAATCGATTAACTCAAATTATTCAAACAATCCATCAATCTTACTGGTTGAAATCATGTGTCAGTTGAAGCTAAACCACCATGGAAAACCTGGAAGCACTGGACGGCCATTTCGTCGTAGTATGGGACTCCTCAGCAGTGCGCATCTAGGGAGACGTCGTTACCAGTGGAGTCCAACCAGATCTATTGTAAGATAGGAACTCACTGAAGACAATGGTGTACGGTGGCGCAACTTCGTGGATTGGATGAAGTTAGACATTAACACCATTGGATGCCGGCCGGCTCAATGGTCTAGTTGGTTAAGCGCATGGCGCGAGACTGATAGATCCTGGGTTTGAATCTTGCGGGGTGCGGAATCGTGGATGAGCACTGCTGAGGACTCCCATACTAGAACGGGACGGCCGTCCAGTGCTTCCAGGTTTCCCATGGTGGTCTAGCTTCAATTGACTCATGATTTCAACCGACGAAATTTCTAAAAACCTCACAAAACCCATTTTGATAATAACCCATCAATCATTCTGAAATTTAGACTTAAAATACTTGGTATTCAGTCGTATTATGTTATGTACTACTGATGTCGATAGATATAAGTAGTATGTAATATCAATCAAAAGTGGAATATCTGACAGCAAAAGGTTGAGAACGGGAACAGAAAGTGATTTGTATGGAAATGAAGAAAGAGAGTGAAGTTTGAGATGATTGATTGACATTTTGTCAATGAAGTATATACTGTATGGTTCTGAAATTTCACTAAGAAATCTTGTAATGTTGTGTTCACATGCATTTCGTTGTCCCCACTAATGTTCTCGTTCACTACAGTATCTTACTTCGTGATTATTGTATAGATTGTATAGGATTACACATGACATTGACTTACAAATGTCAATATGAACTAGATAGTATTACCGTGGTGAACGAGAACACTGATGGGGACAACCATATATTTAGGAATACTAGAATTTCTAACACATACAGTAAATACTTCATTCACAAAATGTCAATCATTCGACCCAAACGTCATTATTCTTTTGTTTTCACACTAATCATTCTCTGTTCATCGATCTTGTTACCTTTTCTACCACCAGGCATTTCACTATCAATTGATGATATATACTACTTATATCTGTCAACATCAGTAGCATATACCACAACACTATTTATAATCTTGATATATTTGATCGATTAGATTATGATTCAATTAAATCTAGACCACCATGGAAAACCTGGGTACAATGGACGGACGTTTTGTCCTAAGGTGGGATTCCTCAGCAGTTCGCATCCACGATCCCGCCTCGGGAGATTCGAAATCAGGACCTATCACTGTCGCACGCGTGCGCTTAACCACTAGACCACTGAGACGGCCGGCGTCCAACGGTGTTAATGTCTAACTTCAACTAATCCACGAAATTGAGCGACACATCCACCATTGTCTTCAGTGATTTACTATCTCACAACTGACCCTGTTGAACTCCACTGGTCACCGGTCCGATAGTAAGACGAAATGGCCGCCCAGTGCTTCCAGGTTGTTCATAACGGTTGAGTTTCAATTGACTCATGATCTCAACTATTAAAATTATCTAATATAGTTGATACACATTTATATACTGTGACTTTGTATCCGCTTTTATAGATAGATCTCATCACTTGAATAACACAGTTGGTTGCGGTTACAAATGTCATTTTTCAACATATTTTTAGGCAAGTGGTAGGCAGCTACACCTTACATTCAATAAATACAATCGAACAGGTAACTCATAGTGTATTGAATGAGAACACAACTATGGACAATCAAATGTATTTGAACACGAAATTACAGAATATCTCATACAGTACAATACTTAATTTGCCAAAATATCAATCGGTTTTCTTGACTTGACTATTTCTTTCACAAATATCAGTCCATCATCTCAGATTTCATTATTCCTGCATTTCCATACCGATTGCTCTCTGTTCTCGTTCCTGTCATTTTAAGACTTTCTACTGAAATACATTCTATTCCTGACTACCATCATATACTACTTATGTCAATATAAGTGGTGCAAACCACACTTGTAACAAGTTCAAAAGTTCCAGGCTGGCATCGGGATCCGCAGAACATAATTCTTCCCCCCCCCTCCTGGTTGGCAGCGACACAAAATCTACTGAACAAGAACACAACTGGGGACAATCGAGTGTAATTGAACATGAAATTACAGAATATCTCGTTAAAATCTGAGAACCATACAGTAAATACTTCATTTGCCAATATATCACTCCATTGTCTCAAACGTGACTGTTCCATTTGCAAATATCAGCCCATCGTCATACCAATTACTTTCTGTTCCCATTTCTGTCCTTTAACAACTTCCAACTGTCATACATTCTATTCCTGACTATCATTTATATACTACTTTAATGGATATAAGTAGTTCAATCACAATAACAAAAAACTCATTTGTAATGTATATGTGTATTTTGAAATTATTAATAATTATAAACATCTTTGATAGTAGTATCGTCAGTATTTTCTAAATATTAATAAAAGTGTTAGAATGATATAAGAAATAATGCAAAGATTTGATAATAATCCATTATGAAGAGGCTTATTAGCTGAACTTGAAGGTGATATAATATTTAGTTTCGTAATCAAATTGTCAACCACTGATCTCATTAATTTAACCTCGTCTAATGATAGTATTAGAAGCCTAATCGGACTAAGTGGTGTTATATCTAGAAAAGTACATTATTAATCCAAGAATAGTAGTTACTAGTTTCAGGTTGAATGGATACATCTTTAGTATCATCGCTTATGTAAACAGGTTCCGGTTGGGACGAAATCAATTCAATAGTGAAGTATAATACAAAGATCCTGCAAATCATTAGCATTTAAAATGATATTCCACAATTACTACACGAATGAATAATCATAATATACATTGGATATTCACTTCTTATTTATAGGCACCCAACAGGTACGTGTTCATTTACATGTACGCTCACACACACACACAACTTGGGTGAAATATGTCATTCCATATACATTGAAAAGATATTTGGATGTTCATATTGCCAACAACCAAGTATGTTTCCATTCGTTATCTTTTGTTAAAATGGTGTTAGTTTTTATAATGAAAACATGATTGAAAATTAGGTGATAATGAGTAATTTTGATAGAGAAATGTTGATTTCAAAAGTAAGCTTTGTGGACAAGTTAGTAGTTTTAATCGTTGAATTCATGAACTGATTGAAGCTAGGCCAACCACAGAAAACCTCATTGAAGACAATGATCGATGGTGATGTCATTTCGTGGATTGATTGAACACCATTAGGTGTCAACTCAGTGTTCTACAGAATGAGCGTTCTCGCGCGAAACCGATAGGTCCTGGGTTCGAAACCGGCGAGCGGGATCATGGATGTGTGCTGTTAAGGAGTCCTATACTAGGACGAAATGGCCGTCCAATGTGTCCAGGTTTTCTATGTCGGTCTAGTTTGTTATTAACAAATATCAATTAAGTGAATTTCTAGTTGTTCAGTGTAAAGGAAATCCTTCTATTTCGTTAAAGATATTTGTTAAAGATTGATACAATATATGACTGTTGACGTTTAACCATATTTGGAATGATGTGGTTAACATAAACGGTATTTAATGATCATCGTGGTATTTGACGAATTGACTGGATCTGGGTAGTGTGATTGATGAGTGGATATTGTGAAACCTGATTGGTACAATTTCAAATTCTTTAGTCGTCAAAGATGTACACTGATCAGAAATACGAAACTATATTGAAAGGACTCCGTGATATTCAATGGTCTTCGGTGAGACTGTAATTTATGGACGACCTGTGAACGAGCCTTGAGTGACCTTGAGAACAATGGCTCCACAACTGTCGGCCTCTAGAGACATGATAAGATCGCAAAAACTCTTTCAGCCTCGACCAAATAGCTTCAATATTGTTTGTGTGCACTCCTGCTGTAAGGTTCACGAAATGGCGCTCGTGGACAACGACAGGATGCACATAATCAATTCTATGCAGGCATCGGTAGGCTCTTCAATCATTCGTATATATTGTAGTATGCGGCTGCACGTATTCCAGCATAATTGGTATTATTGTCGTTCCTTACCGGTTTCTGACCCTTTAGAAGTGTGCATTTTGGGTTCATCTGTCGTAAATTCCAATTACCTGTGAGGTATATTTATGGAAATGCTACTTACCCAGTCTCCTTCAATATTAAGTCCTCTGTTAAATTTTTGCTTCCTGACTACTGTTTCGTCTATTTCAACGATTTTCCCAAATCCTCCGAACGACTCGTGTAAACTTGTCATTTTTATTACACATATATCTCTACATTACCCATACCGCCGAACAGCTGAAGCTTCAGTAACATCTGCAAATGTTGCAGCCAGTGTTACCAATGCTTTTATTATCCAATTCGCAACAATTATCATGATTTATCTCAGTTTCACTCGGGATCGAGCGAAGAAAGTTCCTGCTCGAGCAGACTTCTTTCTCCAACACATATTACATAGAAAGACAACATCATCACGGTTGTCTGTACAAAGTCCACAAGTCATTTGATTATCACAATCACAAATAAAAGAACTTCTTAGTAGTCATGTTTGTTGTAGTCCGCTCAGTTATCACGTTTTCTCTAAAATCCGTTGTGAACCGATCGTATGCGAGCATCAGGTACTGAAATTAGCACTATGACCTTGAAGTTCCTCAAACACTTCTGATTAGCTCGTATATAATAAGCGGTACTAATATCTTGGAGATTAAGGAAAACAATAGTAAAACATCCCTTACTGAAGTTGAGTTCAAAGCATTGTAGACCTAGTTATACAAAATACTGATTTCGAGATACTATGTATAATTAAATTCACTTGATATTGTTTACCTGTATCTTTCCATTGTTATTTAGGACTGTAATTGATTAGTCTCATGTTAGCATATGTGCATCCTGTGTGGATTGCCTCAATATAGATTCAGGTCATATGCTTTTTAAGCAAAGATGGATAGTGACCAGTAATGGTATCCAGGACGTGCGTTTCGTTTGAAGCCAGCGGTACTGGGTCCGAGTCCCAGCGTGAACATCCACAAATCTGGGATGCAGGTACGTCCAGCTGACGAGTCCCAAATAGGACAAAACACGCGTCCTGGATTACACTGCTACCCATTATCCACCTTTGTTTAAATTTACTATGTATATATAGTTTTAAAGAATGTGAAATTGAAATACATTTGTGACGTATTGCAGTTCCAAACTTGTTTGTCATGTTTGATTGTGAAGTGTATAATATTCATGTTAAATCATCGTCTGAAGCTTCACTTAACAAATAACTTTGTCATAATGATAATGGTTAAACCTTTTAGTTATGTTGTGTTCAAATTTACCAACTCTATTGATGTATTCAGTTCGTGATAATCAAAATCCATTGGCCGAATACCATCAGCAACAGTCTTCTGCGGGTGAGAACAAACCAGATTCCAGCTGAAGAGGAAATTACGAAAAGACGTTGAGAGTGGATAGAAAACACAATGAAGAAATCACCAAACTGCATCACGAGGCAAGTGCTAACTTGGAATCCTGAATGGAAACGGAGAAGTGGAAGGCCGAAGAACACATTACATTGGGAAATAGAAGTATATATGAAAAGGATGAATAACAACTGGAAAGAACTGGAAAGGATCGCCCAGGAAAATGTTGTATGGAGAGTGCTTGTGGGTGGCCTATGCTACTGGACGAGGCTTAACAGGAGTAAATAAGTAATAATCACTCGTGCATTACCACTTTTAGAGATTAGTAAAGATGTTTGAAGATGCCATATGTATTTGAAGTTTGACAACACCTATAATGGGAACGTGCCAACCCAGTGAAATCAAAATTCAGAAGTGAATTGATTCGAAGATATATTGGATAGATTATCAATATATTGAGAAGTGACTGATCTAAACTAGCTAGCGGTTGTAGGAGAAGTGAAGTACAACGTACTCACTCGTGATCTAGTGCGGATGAGTGACCGAGCGCTTTCAGCTAGGTGAGTCCATTAAAACTAATGTGGTTAGCATCAAATGTTGAAGACATACAAAGCTATTGATTTTAGGGGATTTATTTACCGCCAAATGTTTAAGTCCAATGCTAAGTGGATTTGAACTTACTTTATCAACGAAATATATTGTACAGTGGTCTTTCTTGATACTCATGATATCAATACTATTAATACATTAGTTACACCAGACTACCCCCCCTCGTAGTTTGACTGGATTATTAAAAACTCACAACATAAGTATGTTTTACCAATCTCTTTCTAATCCAATATTTCAACTTCATGAAGTAAAAATATCTTAGAAGTAAATGACTCAAAACTTATTAAGATCGTGAGCCGATCAATGTTAGACCTCCATTGGGAATCTGAAAGCACTAGACTGCCGTTTCGTTCTAGTATAGGACTCCTCAACAGTGCGCATTCATGATCTCTCACGTGGGACTTGAACCCAAGACCTTCGGTCTCATGCGCGAACGCTTATTCATTTATTTATTTATTTTAACACAAATATTGGTACAAACAGGAACCGAATACATATACGCCACAGTGAGTCACTTGATTTGTGTGTGGTCTATGATACTGCTCGGTTGCTCAGACTCAAACAAGTGGTTTTCTTAAGGGGCCACAACAGGAGCCTTCGACCTAAGTGTCTGATCCATAAGGCAGTGGAGCAACATAAGGAGATGCAGTTCCATGTTAGCCGGTGACCATCAGGATCCTGGAGCCGATGTGCACCATTGGTTTGGAATGAGGGTTTTTCAATTCTTCTCTGTGTTCACCAACCCGATTAATGCGCTGGACATTCATCTTTCATCTCCTCAATTTAATAAACAACAGTAATGCCGCAAGAAGACAGTGAGTATAACTCCCCTGACAGTGGCTGTATGCACGTGGCCATGTGTGGACATTTTGAGAGTGACATCTGACTCTTCACACCCTCAACCATACCAGAATATTTGAAGGCTTAACCTTCAGACTACTATGACTAGGCCATCGTCCAATGTTTTCAGGTTTTCAATGATGATCTAACACTGATCAGTTCATGATCTCAATTAAAAAATCTCAACAATCTCTACAATCGTAAACTTACAAATTCTCTCCAACATTCAAAACAATCCAGAAAATAATTGTATCATCTAATCTGTTTACTTTGAATTAACAAACTAACATCATTATCATTTCATTTGTTCATGCCAAATTGTCAATAACATATCGACTAGATTGTTTTGAATGTTTTATAGCTTTCAATAGATAAACAATTTCAGTGCTAAGTGAATTATTGTTTATGTAAAGTTATGTTCTATTGTTTCATGGAATCTCAGCATATGTTTATACCATAGATTAGGTTTTGTACAAAGATACTAATCATCTGATGTTTATTTTATTTTATTTTTATTCTAACAAACAGATATTGGTACAAGTAGGCACCAAATACATATGCGCCTCACAAATCTCATTTGATATGTGTGACGGCTGTGATACTGCCTGGGTGCCCAAACAGAAACAGGTGGTTTACTTAGGGGACCACTCCTCGAACCTTCGACCCGAAGGTCTGATCCACAAGGAAGTGGAGCATTGTGAGGAGATGCAGTTTCGTGGTAGCCGGTGACCAATAATTGGTTCATACGCCATTTGTTCCCTTAGGATCCTGGAGCCCATGTGCACCATTGGTTTGGAATGAGGGTTTTCCAACTCCTTTTCAACCAACCCGGTTAAAGCGCCGGACAGATAATAGCCAACAATGCCCTGGTACGGCCGAGAGTGGAGAGAGTCAGCTCTCTCTCACGAACTCCTCTCACATGACCACGTGCATACAACCATTGACAGGGATGTCCTACTCACTGCCTTCTCAACACTATGTTTTTGTTTACGAAATTAACATGACGGAAACCGAATGTCCGGCACTTTAACCAGGTTGGTGGATATGGAGGATTCACCTAGGTATGTTGAAAAACCCTGATTACAAACCAATGTTGCACATGGGCTACAGGATCCTAATGGAACAAATGGTGTATAAACCAATTATTTATCACCGGTTACCATGGAACTGCATCTTCTGACATTGCTCCACTGGCTTGTGGATCAGTCCTTTAGGTCAAATGCTCTATGTGTGGCCCCCTAGGAGAACAACCTGCTTCGGTTTGAGCAACCGGACAGCATCCCAGACCTCATACAAATCGAATGATTTATATGGCGCTTAACTATTTGGTGCCACCTTGTACCAATGTTTATGTGGTTAAATAAATAATACAACAACCTTTAAGTGTTGTTGTGAATGGTAACTAAGTAGTGACCATAATCAAGTATATCACACTCTTCTTAGTGCTGATCAAATTGAATCGATAATGTAGTAATATGGCCACTATTCTTGGTGACTCAACATCACGTGCACTATATTCAGATGTAAGGCAGTGTTTGGAGGTGGTCGACAGAATACCATGGATCTAGTTTCTGAGGTGTTTTACACTTGTCAGAAAAGTGAATCTGTAATCTTGAAAGAACGGATGCTCCTTTCAAAATAATCGATAGAATTTGGGTAGCGATACGGAGGAATTGACATGTATTTCATAGGTCACTACTTATTGACTAATCAATTGCAAATATATCTCAGTCCTATAGGAGGTCAGTCTCATAGTAAAAATGCGTTGAGGATGAATAGAAAGTACATTGTGGAAATCATCAAACTGCATCGAGAAACAAGCGTCAACTTGGAATCCTGAAAGGACGGAGTTGGATAAAGAATTCTGATGATCGGCCTATGCAGCTCCACGAGCGATAATCATCAACCACTAAATATATCACAATATATGAAGCACTTCAAAAATAATTAACGTTTAGAGTAGTATAATTGTAATACTGAAGTCGAGCACATTTTGTCTTAAAGTGGTGTCATCAAAACATTTTTTCTATGCTTACCGGTATTTACATACTTACTTACGCCTCTTGCCCCCATGGAAGAGTATAAGCCGCTCGCTAGTATTCTTCATCCAACTGTGTTCTGAGCAATCCTTTCTAGTTGCTATTAATCGTTTTCATGTTTGTTTCCACTTCTTGAATGTAGTGTTTTCTTTGATCTTTCTCTTTTCTGTTTCCCTTCAACATTCCAAGTTAGCGGTTAGCTCGTGATACAGTTTGATGATTTCCACAATGTGTGTCCTATACACTTTCAACGTCTTCGCCTAATTTCTTCCTCAGCTAGAAGTTGGTTTGTTCTCTCTCACAGTATATTGTTGTTGATTGTTTCCAACCAACGGGCATTGAGTATCCTGTGTAGACAATTGTTTATAAATACTTGTACCTTCTTGATGATGGTTATAGTAGTTCTCCACGTTTCAACTCCACACAGTAGAACCGTCTTGACGTTTGTATTAAAGATTATCACACTGATATTGGTTGACAGACAGTTATTTCGTGTTCTATGTGTTCTTAAGTTGTAGGAATTTTATGTCTGTTTTTCCAATCTTTATCTTTCCGTTTGCATCAAATCCTCCTTATTCACCAATGATGCCGTCCAACCAAATACATAAAAGATTCCACAACTTCCAGTGCTTCTCCATAATACAAAAAGAAAATAATAATTTGACAATATACTTGAATATGATATATTGATCTCGATAGATCCTTGGTTCGAATCTCTTAAGGCAGGATCTTGGATACTCATTGCTGAAGAATTCAACAATAGGACGAAACACCCGTCTAATACATTCAGATTTTCCCTAATGATCTACCTTCAATTGACTCATGATCTCAACTAATAAACTATTAAACAAACAAACGAATAGTTCTGATCCATATATATATATGTATTTATATTGAACTAGATTTGTACAGGTTTATTTCAAGGTAATGATAATGAATAATGCAATTGAAGTACTAGTCAATAATCCATTCGAAATCGATTTCTTTGCGGAACCTGTGATGTCAGTTACCAGTACTTCTTTCGTTAGATTACCAAGTGTATCTTTCATTTCTTGATATATTTTACTAAGATTATCTGAAATATGATTCATTCCATAGAAACAAGTGTTACTTACCAAATTGATCAAATGCATTTATATATTGTTCAGCGGTTATTTCAATTCTTCCATTTGTAATGAATAAAGATATAATAAACCAAATAGATAATAATATTCTCCGGAACATATTCAGGATTCAAATCAATAGTCAATCAATTCTGTTTTTATAATAATAATAAAAGAATAAGAGAAGATACTTCACTTATTTATATATCGTTTAATATTTTTAGTGTTTATTTATATACTACTTATTTCAACATTCATCATCGACTCAATATAAACAAACCAATGAAACATGTTTAAAGTATTATTATTATGATTTACTTGTTTAAAATTTGTTTTCTATTTAAGAAAAAAGAGAAACATGATTGAAATGGATGACAAAATGATTGAAATACATCATAGATATACTTTATGTATGATTAGTTGCATTTGGTTGTTATTGTTGTGGTTGTTGTTGTTGTTGATGTGAAAGTACAATTCAATTGTTTTATTAATTGATTATTCTTGTGATTATTGACACGATTTATGATTAATGAAGTTCTTTACTGATGGTATGATGTATGTAAATAACTTTACATTATTTGGTCAACATCATTGATGAGCATGGTGGATCTGATGAAGATGTGGAGGGGCGAAACGGTAAAGCAAGAACAGCATATCTACGACTGGAGAACATATGAAACTCAAAAAAAGACTGTCAACTAACACCAAAGTCCGAAGTTTTAATACAAATGTCAAGACAGTTCTACTGTATGCGGTGGAAACTTGGAGAACTATGAAAGGAATGATTCAGAAGATACAAGTATTTATTGACAGTTGTCTACGCTAAATACTTCGGACTTGTTGACCAGACACTTTCAACAACAACCTACTATGAAAGCAAAGAAACCAGATTCCGGCAAAGAAAGAAATCTGGAAGAGGTGCTAAAAGTAAATAGAACACAAATTGAGGGAAGCGTCCAACTGCGTCACAAGGCAAGCCCTCACATGGAATCCTCAATACTGAAAGAGACGAGTAAGACTAAAGAACACATTACTCTGGGGAACGGAGACAGACATGAGAAGAATGAAGAGCGATTGGATAGAACTAGAAAAGAAAGCCCAGGATAGAGTGGGTTAAAGAACGCGGCTTGGCGGTCTATAATCGATTGGGGGTAACAGACGCAAGTATGTAAGTAGGTAAGTAAGTAAGTAAGTAAGTAAGTAAGTAAGTAAGTAAGTAAGTAAGTAAGTAAGTAAGTGTTGAAGTAAGTAAGTAAGTAAATAAAAGTAAGTAAGTAAAAGTAAGTAAGTAAGTAAGTAAGTAAGTAAGTGTTGAAGTAAGTAAGTAAGTAAGTAAGTAAGTAAGTAAGTAAGTAAGTAAGTAAGTAAGTAAGTAAGTAAGTAAGTAAGTAAGTAAGTAAGTAAGTAAGTGTTGAAGTAAGTAAGTAAGTAAGTAAGTAAGTAAGTAAGTAAGTAAGTAAGTAAGTAAGTAAGTAAGTAAGTAAGTAAGGAAGGAAGGAAGGAAGGAAGGAAGGAGGGAATGTTTAGTCATTCAAAAGTGAAATACCTGCCAACTGAAGGTTAGGAAGTTCGAATCGAAGAGAACGAGAACAGAGAATGTTTGGTGTGGAAACGAAAGAACAATGAGATCTTAGACAATTGATTGAAAGTTTGCAAATGAAATATTTACTGTATACTTCTCACATCCTAGTAAGACATTTTTTAATTTTGTGTTGAAATACATTTGGTCGCCTTCACTAGTGTTCTCGTTTATGTTTATCTATACTCCTCTTATTACAAGCTTTGCTCTGACCTATAAACTGTCATTATATAATTTACCGTTCTTGAGTTATGTCCAGTCTGGTAACGACAATCTCCCACATCGACAGCCAGTATTAGCTTGATCTTGTATAAATGTTACTTTCTATTTTATGGTGTGATGTGATCTGTTTAGTTTGTATATAAACCCAATATGTTTGAGAGACATGATTCACATCACAGAGACTGAGATTGATGTTCTGGACTTAACTGGCTGAGCTAGGACAGTACAGGTTTTATGTATCATTGATCCAGTCGATAATTCACTGTTCTCTAATTAACGGTATCATTACGTTAAATATATTCATAAGGATACAAGGCTATAAGTTATAATAAGTACTAAATTCTGTAAATAGTTTATAGAAATTTCATTAACACTTTCCTTTGGCAACTTTGTCGGGAAGTAAACGTTTTAAATTAACAAACTCATCGATACTTTACAAGAATACAGTGAAAAACTATCAGTTCAGAGGTTGTGGAGATTGTTGAGCTTTTGATTGAGATCATGAACCGATTGATGTTAGACCACCATCGAAAACCTGGAAGCCCTGAACGGCCATTTCGTCCTATTGTGGGACTCCTCAGTAGCGCGCATCCACGATCCCGCTGACGGGATTCAAACACAGGGCCTTCAGTTTCGCGCACGAACGCTTAATCTACTTGACCACTGAAGCGGCATCCAATGGTGATAGTGTCTAACATCAACCAATCCACGAAATTGCTCGGCCATCTTCCACTGTACTGAGTTAGACACTTGTTTCTGCCCGACACGGATTAGCTCCACTGGTCACAGCTTCTCACTAGAACTCTGAGAGTTTTCTCACGAAGTTAGTCACATAGTAAGCACATGGTAATGATCAGTTTAGGTGTCGCGCAACTTCGTGGATTGGTTGAATTTCGACATTAACACCACTGGATGCCGGCTCAGTAGTCCAGTAGGTTAAGCGTTCTCGCGCAAGACTGAAGGCCCTAGGTTCAAATCCCACGAGTGAGATCGTGAGTGCGCACTGCTGAGGAGTCCTATACTAGGACGAAACGACTTTCCAGTACATTTAAGTTTTCAGTGATGGTTTATGATCTTAATCATAAAGGTTATACAAACTGTAACCTAGGGTAATGTATTCGAACTCAGACGAATAATCCCCTTGATAATACATCTGTTTTTGATCATAATGATTGATAATGCTATCATACCTGCTTGATGAATACAATCATATAGACTATTGAAAATGACAGATTCTTTTACAATATATCTTTATTTCAAAATGGTTAATAATAATAAGCATATGATTAAGATTTCTGTAAATGGTAATATACTATAAGTAGAATACATATACTAGACAATAATCCATTATGAATGTATTTAGTTGCTATACTTGAAGGTGGTATAGCGTTTATTTTATTGACTAAAGTATCAAGGGCTTCTTTTAATTTGGTAACCTCATGTTTTAATTCTAATACGATAGGACGTGGATCTATATCTTTATCTGAATAAACAAAGTTATGAATTAGTGAATACTAGTTACTAGGATTAGTTTGAATGGATACATCTTTGGGACCATGGTTTACTGGAACAAGTCCCGTCTGAGATGATATTAATTCAATAATGAAGCATAATACAACGATCCTGCAAATCATCAACATTGAAATGATATTTCACAATTACTACACCAATGATCAATCAGAATTTATAATGAATAGTCACTTCTTATTTATAGACGCCAAGCAACTACATGTTCATTTACACGCACACACACGCACACGCACACGCACATACGTACGCCCCCCCCCCCACAATTTGAGTGTAACATGTCATACTGCCAAGAAGCAAACATGTTTCCATTCATTATCTTTTGTATAGATGATGCTAGTTTTTTCTTTATTATTTTAATGAAAATCTGATTGAAAATTAGTTGGTATTAGTTGTTATTTTCAGGAGGGAATGGGTGGTCTTGTGGAGATTTTAGTAACTTTAATAGTTGAATTCGTGAGTCAATTGAAACTAGACCGTTTGTGGAAAAACTAGAAGCACTCGACAACTGTTTCGTCCCAGAATGGGACTCCTCAACAGTGTGCATTCACGATCTCGCTAGCAGGATTCGAACCCAGGACCTGCGAGCTCATAATAGAACGAAGAGTCTGTCTAGTGCATCCAAGTTTTCCATGGTGTTCTAGCCTTCATTGGCTGATGAATTTAATCATTAAAATAATAATAATGATTGAGATTAGATAGACTGTTGCATAATACCTCACATGTGAAGTGAATTAAAAGTATTTCAAACTCGACCATTTTTCATGATTTCTCGAATGAGTCTGTTTCATCTAAGCGTTATTCACATAAATTACAGTTTATAAAATATAGTAAAGGTGTAGTGTAGGTCAATTATATCCACGTCAGTAGTATATAACGATGGTCGAGCATAGAATGTATTTCAGAGGAACGGTAGGACGTGCGGCTGCTAGGCGGACATCGGATGTAAATGACTCGGCAGGTCGCAGGAGTGCAGACGTTGAACGTCACAGGAGCCGGGTGGATGTCGGATGTTGATGCTCCGATAGGTCGACAAAGCTATGAAGGTCGGCGCTCCGAGATTGTCATGAAAATGCATGAAAAATGAAATCTGAGAAAATGGACTGATACTGTATGAATTTAACACTCAACTAACACAGAACAAAATGATCACGTTTTTATCATATGATTTCCGATCACCTGCCTACATTCACAATCGTGTAGAAAATATGATGTAATAAATAATCATAGACATTAAAGAGCAAAGATGGATAGTGACTAGCTGTGGAATCCAGGATGCGCCTTTCATCCCATTTGGGACCTGTTAGCTGGACATACCTGCATTTCAAAGTTTATTTTCACTCCAGGACTCCAACTCAGTACCGTTCGCTTCATTGCGTTATCCACTCAGGTACTGAGTCCTGATAGCCACCTGCTTATGCAATGGGGTGAAGTTTAAATTCACTTGGTGTTGTTTGCTTCTATAGTCGCATTGTTGATAAGGACTGAAATTGATTAATCTCTTGTTGGCATATGTACATCTTATGCAGATCGCCTCGATAAAGCCTTAAGTCACAAGCTTTATATGCAAAGAAGAATGAGTCTCAAATAGAACGAAACTCGCGTCCTGGATTCCACTGCTAGCCACTATCCATCTTTGCATATAATGCTTGTAAACTAAGGTTATATCGAGACAATCCACACAGGATGCACTCATAACAATGAGCGACTGATCAATTGCAATCCTGAACGTCAATAAGAAGATTCAAACAAACAATATCAAATGAATTCAATAGACTAGGAAAGTTAGAATGAAATGGATCTTTAACCCTATAAATATATGCATCTGAATACGTTTGTGTTAGGTAATTTGAAGATGGATACAACATAATCAATACAACGTATTATCAATAAAATCGTGAAGAATGACTCAATTGATTACAGTGGAAATGATACATGAAATCGATTTGTTCCCAATCGTCTATGACATGTAATCAAACCCTGAAAAGGAGTATTTATACGCAATGACATGGTGAATATATGTTCACATAGTAAGTTATTAATTAGTTGGTGTTAATTGTTAGTCAGTCCAGTTTAGACCAACTAGGCTGTTAATCTAACTGTTAATAATCAACATTAGTGACGGTCTCCTAGAATTGTTTCCTGAAGTTCTAGTAAGAAGCCCTGATCAGTGAAGTTCAAACACGGTCTGTTTTGAGATAGTAAGTCAATGAAGACAATAGTGGACGATGGCGCGATTTCGTGAATTAATTGGAGCTAGACACTAACACCGCTGAATACCGGCTCCGTGGTCTAAAGGTTAAGCGGTCGCGCATGAGACCGATAAGTCTGAGATTCGGATCTCGCGGGGTGAGATCATAGATGTGAACTATATTGAGAAGTCCCATACTAGGACGAGACGGTAGTCACTGCTAACAGGTTTCCGATGGTGGTCTAGCTGAGACCATTTCGTGATTCAAATTACAACTTTTACAATCTCTACGAATTCTTTTATAACAATGATAAACATGCATTCATTTGTGACTAGTTCCAAGATGTAACTCATGGAGTTCTAATGAGAAATTGTAATAGCTGTATAATAATAACACTTTTTGATATCCCATTAAGTAAAGGTCTGTATTTCTGATGTTTCGTGACCTAATTTACGTCACTTCCTCAGTGTAAGTAAATAAACGAAGTAAGTTAACACAAGTTTAATCAGTACAAAAGAAACAATGAAGAATATTTTTAGTACAATTACAGTCATAATAATTCTGAACTTTTTAATGTCAATATCATTCTGAATCAGAAATCATTGTTCATTTGAGAAATTCAACCATGTTGGGTGTGAGATAGTCATCCACTACTGTTAGTGATTAGAGTTGTGCAGAGACGTCGAATGATTGGAGTTAGACATACACACGACTGAATGCTGAATCAATGGGCCAGAAGTTCAGCGTTCACGCTAAAGGTCCTGTATTCGAGGTGTGAACCACTGGGGAATCTACGAACACGGTTGTGATCAAATGCTAGTGACTATAATGTTGACTGGCGTGTATTAAAATTTATGCATTAGTTGTCCTAATGAGAAGTCATGACATCTGTCTCTTAGGTGTGTGTGAACAACAAAAGTTTTCAACGTAATATAACAACTCATTTCAATTTAGCTAAATAAGCGGTAGGTCCCCAATATTCACTAACATGTTTGACTAGATATGTCATTTCTCATGTAGTTATCTTCAGATGCTCTAGAATGAATCGTTAAACACTCAGTGTAAAATTACTGTAGTAGGTTTGGTAAGATGATTGAATCTTACGAATTACATTGTGGACTCATCAAAACTAAGAAATCCTAGAGAATCTAGAAACAATGGAAAACTGTTTCGTTCTAGTTAGCGACTACTCAGTAGTGCAAATCCGCAACCTCACCAGCTTTTGAACACAGGACTTTGGAATAATACTGATAGCTCCCAAGCTTTAGACTGTTGAGATGACATCGAATAGCTTAAATGGTTAATTTCTGTCAGTTTACGAAACTATACAACTATCTAGGGTCTAAACGCTCGTAAAGTAAGTCGAAGGTTTCAAGTTCAACAAGTGGGTGTCAATCAATTCCCTTTCTTCGATAGATCTACTGAATCAGTTGTTGTGATTTTTCTAGAATTCATAGGTCGGTGATATAAAACTCTCATCTATACTTGCGTTTGTACATGTTTAAGATTAGTAAGCGTTTCGGTTAACCTATATAATAGACGCTTCACGATAGAAAATATGGAACGCTTCCAAATACCCTGGTACGACCGAGGATGGGGAGAGCCCACTCTTCCTCTCCAAATGCTCTGATATGGACACGCGAATACAGTCACTATCAGGCAAGTCCTACTCACTGCCTTCTCAACACTGGGATGTTGCTTATGAAACCGAGAGGACAAAAGAGAATATTATGTGTTTTAACCTGGTTAGTGGATATGGAGGATTCACCTAGAAAAGTTAGAAAACCCTAATTCCAAACTAATGGTGCACATGGGCTCCAGGATCCTGATAGAAATAATGGCGTATGAACCAATTATTTGTCACCGGTTACCATGGAACTGCCATTCCTGATGTTGTTCCACCGCCTTATGGATCAGACCTTTAGGTTGAAGGCTCCGGGTGCGACTATCTAAGTAAACCGATTGCTTCAGTTTGGGCACCCAGGCAGTATCACAGCTCACACACAACTCAAGTGACTTGTATGTCGCATGTGTATTTACTTTTTGATTCCATTCTTCAGCACTTCATCTCATGAAGGATATATATGATACTTATTCTCTTGTACTATGTTTCAATTATCCCGTGTCATCGTTCCGTGCATTAGCAAATTGTAATGGTGAAAAGTAGAAAAAAAAAGAATACTCATCCCAATGGTAAATCCTATCCAAATCATCAAGATTATTCTCTGAATTAAACTGAATAACAAAGCAGAACTACTTATTTCTAGAATCAGGATAGTGTATGCTACTTATGTTGACAGATATAAGTAGTATGTAGCATCAAGCAAAAGTAATATACCTGAAAAGAATGAAATGAAAGAAAAAAAGATAGAAGAAAATTGAAAGCGATCAAAATAATAACAAGAATGAAGAGTCGACAGAGTCTTTAAGAGACAACTGATGGAAGATCCGTATAGTTTTCATATTTTATTCATGTTCATTGACTGGATACCATCATCCACAACAACCAACCTACTGTAGGAGATAATAAACCAGCTTCCATTTGAAAAGGAAATCGGAAAAAGACAGTAGAAGTGGATAGGACATACATTGTAGAATTACATCAGATTGCATCACGAGGCAAGCCCTAACTTGGAATGTTGAAAGGAAACGGAAAAGAGGACGATCAAAGAACACTCTACACGTTGAGAATTGAATGCAGACATGAAATAGATGATCAAGGACAGAGTTGAATGGAGAATGCTAATAGTTGGTCTATGCTACTCAATGAGGTGTAACAGGTGTACATACATAAGTTCTTCAATCGATCTTCTCATTACATATATCTATAGCTTAATATTGGCATGTCTACTTACACCTTACATAATTCAATACCATGTTAGTTACTACATAACTCAATATCCATCATCGTCAAATTTTGTTGTTCAATTCAGAAAAAAATGGTAAACATGTTTAGACAATGATGACTTGTTTGTTCTGTTTTTATCAACAACAAAAAAAACATGATTGGAAATACAAAACAATGGCATATATGTCATAGATATAGTTCATGTCTGATTTGCTATTTTCTTTCTAAAAGCCTCAGTCAATCCCTTTTGTAGTGGTTTCTCACCACCCCCTACCCTCTTCCAGCCAAAATGAATTTGGTAAGACTTCGTGGGATCTTCTGAAGAAGTGGCTATATCGAAACACGGCACTATTACAGGAGGAGGGATAGCTGAGTTTGCAGTTAAAGCTGTGCTGTTTCTTTTCTTTGTAGCACTTGTAATCGTTTATGAGTATCGGTCGAGTGGCTGATTAGTTCGATCTCTATCACCCACTTTACTACTCATATTAGTTCATGGGATAAGTCTCACTATCTAGGAGGCACGATAAGGATGTGTGAGTCCATGTGAGAACATTTGGAGAAGGAAAATTGACTCTCCCCACACTCGGCCATACCAGTTCATTTGCGGGCTAGAATAATCTTTATGAACTCAACATAGGATCAGCCACTACAACCCGACGATTCCGAATCCAAATTACATTAAATTCCTTTGTACTTTTCTAGATCTGTCTTGCTTTAATTGCACTGTTTCGGGAATTCCTAGTAAGTACATTAATTCAAAGATTGTCATACCTAGTTAAGTACTAACGTAGTGTATACTACTTATACTGACAGATAACAAGTAGTATGTGGCGGCGATTGAAAGTGGAATACCTACCACCAAAAGATTGAATTAAAGAGAACAGTAAAGAAGTCGGAGAGAAATCAAAATAACAACAGAATTAGAGTTATACTAAGTAGGTTAACATGTCACAAGATCGAGGCAGCATTTTCTCTCTCTCTCTCTCTACATATTAAACATAGACTAGTAAGTAGACAAATCAGGGTCGTAATGTTGATTTCGTTGGGAAAACGAAAGCAATATGTTGTTGTTTCTTCCTTGTATGTGACTCCTCAACAGTCACAAATGACTGATCACTGGGTGGTGATCAATGTCATGTGTATCAAATCCTTCTTAGTGCAGATAGAATCCTATCGACCAAGTTACTATGTGTCCACTAGTCTAGGTGACTCGACATTGCGTGCACTATATTGAGATTAGATGGTTGTTTGAGGTAGTCAACAGGAAACTTTGGACCCATGTTTAGCGCTACTTTGATAGCCCAGTGGTGACATCTCCGAGTGTGAGGCTTGGTGACACGGGATCGAATCCGTCAGGGAGCACCAGTTCCCTTAAAATTACAGGTACACCTTGACGACAAATCCCAAACAGCATGAAACCTGCGTCCAGGGTTTCCTGTTGACTACATCAAATCACCATCTCTACTCCTCAACAGTGTGCATCCACGATCCGGAACGTGACACTCAAATCCAAGATCTCTGGTCTCGAGAGAGACCGCTTAACTTGTACACCACTGGACCGGTATCCAACAGTGTTAATGTCTAGCTTCCATCGAACCAACTCTTCATCGATTGTCTGAGGTAGACAACTATGTCACACCCGACACGGATTGAATTCCACTGTTCACAGCTTCACACTAGAATTACATCAAATCCATATTGAAGCTATTCACAAGAGAACGCATGGCAACTATTATCGGTAAGGGGGTTTTGTGGAGATTTTAGTCACTTTACCTGTTAAATTCTCAAGTCGATTCTAATAAACTAACTTATATGAATGAGGACCGCTCAATAGATCGGTGTCTGATACCAATTATAATCTGTAGTGACCTACTTTTATAAAGTGAACGCGATTGGTGTAATGGAACGATCTTGGTATTCTTCCAATATTACGAGATCACCAACAAATACATTTCGACTACAGCCATCAACTGCCTTCTGATAGTTGGATTACGGGGGATCTTATCGGTTAACTGGCACGTAGTCTTCCTGTAGTGGTGATCATAGTCAACCGCGACTCGACGCCGTACTACAAATCTATGTGTGATTATAAATTCCCCTTAAAATAATAAATTAGCATAAAAGTCTTTTATATCATATTATATTTGACAGACGATATACTTTAAAGTATCTAAACAACTTACTTCAATTTAACTAATTATGTTCGATAAATAGAAATGAATAAAGGATAATTCCTATAGTCCCCCCCCCAAAACAACAAAATTAGAAAACAATGTTTTAACTACTTATTATTATATTTAAGTAGTATAAAAATACAATTGTTTAAGTGCGGGGAAAAATCATTATTTCATTGAAATTACAATCATTTTATCCATTATAATAAAAGAAAATCACATTATGCATTATAATCATAACTTTGCTAATAAATTATATTCAATATTACAACAAAGCAAATATAAACTACTTATAATCCTCATAATAAGTAGTTTAATATTTATACATATATAAATAGATTCAATGAAATTATACAAATACTCATGAATAATATATTCATCATATATGTATTTGCTGAATTGGGAATTGGTTTTAATTTTCTAGTTAATTCATCTAATATTTGTTGAAGTTGTTGAAGTTCTTTACGCAATTCTTCTTTCATTTCATTAGATGCTTGATTCAAAAGTTCATATTCATAAAGTTCATCATGAGTAGAGTTTCCATGGAATACTACTGGATTAGGGGAACTATCATTATGGTCTCCATTTTCTTCAGTACTTCCATTGTTGTTGTTGCTATTCTCTTCAGATTTTATACGTTTTAATGATAATAATTGTAAACTAATAAAGATAATGATCCAAATGTTTCTATGATTCATGAATGATTCAATAAATCAGTAATATCAAATGATAAATTGAAGGTATCAGTTTGTTATTGTTATTTATATACCCCAAATGGTTACATGTTTTGTTGACTCTATGGTGATTTCTGTTAGTTTTGAGACAGATTCATGAAATGAGAACATGTTTTCTTTTCTTCTTTTTTTCTCTCTCTTTTTTTTCTTTTTTTTCACTGTTTTTATTGTAAATGTGGTAAGTTGTTTTTTGGTTTGTTGCCTTTTATTTTGTTATAAATGAAACAAAAAAATGACTAGAAACGATGACATAAAGTTAACTTGTATGTTATATGAATGTGTATATAAATGATACGTTTATTATTAGCCCCCCACCCTATTCAAACGCCCTGGTATGGCTGAGAGTGGAAAGAGTCTGCTCTCCCTCTCGAAATGTTCTTACGTGGACACTTGTATACAACCATTGACAAGGAAGTCCTACTCACTGCTTTGTCGCACCATGGATGTTATTTATGAAATTGAGAGGTCGAAAAGTGAATGTCTGACGTTTTAACCAGGTTGGTGGACATGGAAGGTCCACTTAGGGGAGTTTGAAATCACTGATTCCAAACGAATGGTGTACATGGACTCCAGTATCTTGAAGGAACAAATCGCGTATGAACCAATCGTTGGTCACCGGCTACCATAGGAATGTATCTCCTGATGACGTTGCTCCATTACTTTGTGGATCAGACCTTCATGTCGAAGGCTGCGGGTGTGGCCCGCTAAGAAAACCACCTGCTTCGGTTTGAGCACCCAGGCAGTATCACAGCCCTCACACATATCAAATGAGATTTGTGTGGGGCATATGTATTTGGTGCCCCCTTGTACCAATATCTATGTGTTAAAATAAAATAATTAATCACCGCGTTATCCATCTTAATATTGATTTCTGATAGTTACTAATTTGTACAATGTGGTGAAGTTTAAATTCACTTGATATTGTTAACTTGAATCCTCCTATTGATGTTTAAGTCCACAAATGATCAGTCTCTTATTTCTCAAATTTTTTCTTCTGTTTATAACTGAATCAAATATTAAAGTGTACGTTCTTCTACACTGTTGGTCTAGTGATTGAGCATTCGCTCAGAAGACCGAATCTCCCAGGTTCTAACCCCTCGGACAGGATCGTGGATGTGCAATACTGAAAAGTCCCCATAATAAAACGAAACGGTCATCCAATGCTCCCAACTTTTCAATGATGGTCTAACGTCGATCAATTCATGATTTCAATATAAAAAAACATACACTTGAAGACTTTCTGACTATTTCTAGGTGAATTCTATCTAATTAGATACATATTAGTTCCTGGGTTAATGCATTCATAGGATGATCTACAGAAAGTGAATACATTTGATACACATGATGAGAGATCTGTGAATATCTCTCAATGGTGTATACAGGATGAAGTATTTTTATTACATTTTAACAGAAGTTTCATTTTTCCATTGACTCATTTATCCTTGTTTACACATGATTTCAATTTGATATTTATTTTTCAATGGTTAAAATCATGAGTCAATTAAAGCTAGACCACCATGAAGAACCTGGAACCACTGGATGGACGTTTCATCCTATTTTGAGACTCCTTAGAAGTGCACAACCACGATCTCGCCTCTCGGGACTCGAACCCAAGACTCACCGGTCTCGCGTGCGAGCACTTAACCACCAGACCACTAAGATGGCCAGCATCCAACGGCTTTAATGTTTAACTTCAACTAATCCACGAAATTGAGCGACACATCCACCATTGTCTTCAGTGACTTACTATCTCACAACGGACCCAGTTGAACTCCAGTGGTCACTACTTCTCACTAGAAATTCAGCATATACCTCTTGAAGCCAGTCACTAGTGAGTATATGTTGATTAATATCAGATGGGTTTTGTGGATATTATAGTAATTTCAATGGTTAAGATCATGGGGTTCTCCATGATGGTCTAGCTTCAACTGACTCATGACCTTAACCATTGAAATTACTATAATATCCACAAAACCCATCTGATATTGATTGTTATTGAATATCTACGTATTAAAAGTAGAATAAATACAAGAGGTCTAATTACAATTATTTACTATGAATGTTGGGGATATTTGAAGATTGTAGTATTTTCAAAGTTGAATACATGAATTAATATAAGCTAGACCACTGTTGAAAACCTGGAAGCACGGAAAGGCCGTTGCACCTCAGTACGGAACTCCTCAACAGTACACATCCACAATCATGCACGTTGGACTCGAACCCAGGACCATTAGTTTGGCACGCGAACGCTTAACCCCTAGACTACTGATTCGGCATAAGAAAACTAGAATGAAAAATATATGTATTATCCTTCTATATATTTATCAGTTCACTTGATTTCTTATGAGCAATTTCACTTTTGAAAGATTTGAATTGTTAGATGGATATTTTCTAAATTTACATTGAGTTCATAATGTTATAATGATAAGATACAACCAGTAGTGCTCAGAAATGTTGAATCTGGCCATTTGATATTACAGTTCACTCGTTCTGAAAGTACCAGGTGCTAAATGTAATGGAAGAAGTAGGTTATGGATGATCACTATTATAAAGAAGTTGTACAATAGTACGAAACAACTGTCTACTGTTCAGTGGCAATTGATTGATCACTAGGTGGTGATCAATATCATGTGTGTCAAGTCCTTATTTAGTGTAGATCGAATGCTATCGACTATGTCGCAATATGGCCACCAGTCTAGGTGACTCGACACTGCATGCACTATATATTGAGATTATATGGTGGCTGGAGGTAGTCGACAGGGTTTCCTGTCGACTTAACTCTTTATATTTGATATGGATATATGACAATCAACTAAATTTAATGTGAAACTTCTGCTATGATTAGGGCTATTTAACGAAGTTCTTTTGTGGAGATTGATTCAGTTTTCAGGTTATATTTATTACAGTTTTACCTCAGATGGACCACCATTATAAGCTAGAGGAGACTAGAAAGGTGTATTGTTCTACTATGAGAGTATTCAATAGTGAGCATCCACAATCCCATCTCCTGGAATCACACTCAGGAATTATGGTTACTTTCATGGACGATTAGAGTTTAGATCACATCTGGAATTCTATACTGTATATATGTCTAACTGTAATCGATTCTTAATATATGTGACCATATTCCATTGTTTAAGCCCCATTAGTCACGGCTTCTAACTAAAAGTTTGAAACTTGTCACTTATTAGCATATAATTATTGTGAGTATACGAGGTTTGTGATGTTTATAAACTGCACATCCTAAATCTGGTTCTTGTTTGGTGGCCCTATATCTGACTCCAGTCAAACCGTATGCTGATTATTATCAAAATATACATTCCAGTTACCCTTATATATAATTATCGACTTAATTGATGTTAAAGAATAACGGAATAAAATAAGCCAAATAAGCGAATGAATTTTGAATCTGTTTATTTCATACACACATTGATCAGAACAGATAATCCGAGAAACGAAGTGTATAAGGCAAAGTGAAACGAAACGAAGTGATGCACAGTGAAGAAGGCGAATAGATCAACTCATTTTCATCAAGCGTACTCCAGATAAAAATAAGCTAGAGACACGTAATGAATAGGATAAACGTCTAACACCCATACACTCAAATAAACAAACTATCAACTAGGTTAAAGTGTGGCTTAAGAAGAGTGGATAAATTTGTCTGTTCAGCGAATATAATAACCTATATGAGGTTGACATAGTATCAGCCACTTCACCCTAATGCCTTTTATCACTCCTTACAACGATGAAAGCTCCACGACTAAACTATTCAGCTCAGAGAACAAAACTCCATCATAATCATCCATCTGAGCTAACAAACTTCTCAACTATTATTACTGTTGGTTATTCAAGTCAGGGATCATATTTTATGATTGTATTTGATTGGATATGAAAATTAATTCAGAATTATTACTTCGTGTTCAATCATATTTTTCATTTTCGTCCAATAGTTTATGGAAGAGTAATAGTACCCTCTATACAACAAAAATTATTTAGTTTATTTTTTTATACTACTCACAAGTAGCATAATCCGTAACACAAAATCTGTAAGCACCTATGTTATTCAAATTCAGTTATTATTATTATTGTTTTTGGCCAATTTAGCACTTAATTCGTAGGAGGAATAGTCAACTAAAAATAACATTCAGTAATGAAGTTTAAAGTTGAGTAGTTGCCATTAGTAGGAAGAACACCGACCTTAATCTGTTTCATACCGGTTAACCACATATCAACACTGCCTATCTGTAATTTTGTGAGATTTGAATCACTGTGACCCAGTTCGACGTTCCGAAACACTAATTTTGACCAGTCTTATTATATAAACTTTCATCTAGTCACTGTACTTTAATCAAAGTCTTAGTACATTTTTGATCATGGGTAGCAATGGAATCTGAATGTAGGTTACATCCTCCTTAGAATTCATTAGCTAGATTGATCTGCATCTCAACTGAATAATAATCGCTTCAAACCCTCACATATTAACTACCTACCTAGTGAGTTCATTGTATTTGGTGAGATGTGCATGATGTTTCAAACCAAACTATGGTCTAGCCAATTTATCTGAATTTGGGGATAACATTACTTAAGAGTTCTGGTCGAGGTAAATGATAACTGTTCACTAGCTGTTGAAAATTGAGACTATTGACTTGTTTGTATTCATTTATAGATGGCCGTCTGAGGTACTGTTTGAGCATTGATCACGAAAGAGAATGTTTCATAAGAACAATATAGCTTGTTCCACAAGAATAATTTATACGATGAGTGTTTATTTTCTGGAAGATGCGAAATCCTTGAGAAGTATCATCGATGAACAAGGAGAATCCGATACACATGTAAAGGCAAGGACTAGAAAAGCAACAACAACATTTCGACAATTCAAGAACATATGAAACTCACAACAACCGTCTGTCAACCAATATCAAAGTCACAATCTTCAGTACGAACGGCAAGACAGTTCTACTGTA